AAGAAATCTTTTTTGTTAGAACCCTGAAGTGGGTTTTATAATCAAAATTTTGAGATATCAATATATGTGTGTATATATATCTAGTAATCATCATACAAAAATCAGACAAATATACAAATTTAATTTAATTTAATTTTTTTATATTATTATTTAAACTATTAATTTTTGCAAATTTTAGTGTATTAACTGTAGTATACTATTTAAAATGATTTTACTTTTAAAATAATTAAATAATTTTATTAATTAAAGTTTAATTATTTGGTAATTTGCTACTCAACTAGAGAGAGCTTATAGTATAATATAATGCAGTTTATATATAGAAATCAAGATTTTTGAAATATAAGTTACTTTTATCTAAAACTTTTTTTATATTAAATTAATTACTTTTAGGCTTTTAATTGAAGTTTTAGAGCTCATTGAAATAAATCTAATAGTGGTTAAATTGTCAAAATTAGCTTTGTAGATTATGAGATATCTTCAAAAAAAATTTTACTAACTATGTAAACTTGTTAAAAAAGAAGTTTATATACTTGGTGAAATATTTTCAAAGATATCTTATAATCTACAAGACTAATTTTGACAATTTAACTATCATTAGATTTATTTTGATAGCTTTACAACTTGAATTAGAGGTCAAAAAATAATTAATTTAGTATAAAAAAAGTTTTAAATAGAAACTGCTATATTCAAAAAACTTTGATTTTTATATTTAAACTGTGTCATGTTATATTATGAGCTCTTTTTGGTTGAGTAGTAAATTACTAATTATATAAAGAAGGTTTAAAACTTATAATAGTTAAAAAATTATTATTTTTATATAATAAAAAATATAATTTATATTATAAATTTTGTTTTATAATAATAAAAAATTAGTTATTATAAATCAAACTAGTAATATAAAATAATTTTTATTAATAGTTTTACTAAATCACACCAGTAGTGCTAATACTACATCAATTTTGACTAATAAAATTAATGATTTGCAGTATAATATTAAGATCAGATATAATATAACAACTTTACTAAAATACACCAGTAGTGTTCAATACTACATATCAAAACAAAAATTTAAAAAAAGATTAAAATTTAGCTAATATTAGGGTTAGGGTTATTAGCTAGAATTTGGAATATAAGTTATTATAACTAAAATTTTGCAAGAATTTTTTTTTATTAAGACACAAAAGGTAGTTTTATAAGCAAAATTTCGAGTTATTAAAGATTTTTTAAAAAATTAAAGGATTGTTTTGATTTTTTATGTTACACCTAATCTTGATGTTACACCACAGATCAACAATTTTATTAGTTAAAATTACTATAGTGTTGAACACCACTGGTGTGTTTTAGTAAACTCATAATATAAAATCAAAACAATCTTTGTTGTTTTTTTAAAAAACTTTTAATAATTTAAAATTTTGTTTATAAAACAACTTTTGTGTTTTAATAAAAAAAAATTTTGTATAATTTTGCTATATACTAACTTTTCTTTTCAATTTTAGCTATAACTCTAATTCTAATATAAGCTAAATTTTAAATTGTTTCTTTAATTTTTTGTTTATTTGTTTTGATAATAATCTTTATATTATACAGCATATATATATATAACTAGTAGTACTATAGATATGATTTAGTATTATTGTTTATCAAAATAAAAATGAAAATTTTTAATATAAGATTTGTATTAAGGTCTAGAATTGAGCAAAAATATAGTTTATATCAAAATTTTGCAAAAAAATTTTTTATTAAAACACAAAAGATGATTTTATAAGCAAAATTTTGAATTATTAAAATTTTTTAAAAAACTACAAAATTTGTTTTTATTTATGTTGTTGATTTATTTATTTTTTTCAATATTAAGATAACCTCTTGGCTGTCTCATTTTATTCAGTTATTAGTTAACTTTACCATATACTAAGCTCCTTTTGAAGCCCGTACAGTATACATATTTAGAGAGTATATACTAGCTACATGTACAATTTTTGATTGCTTATTTAAGTAGTCTGCTTATTATTAAGTTCTATACTAGATGCCATACCTACAACCCAACTAGGGGGTTATCTATTTAAACCCTCTGCACCTATAGAGTTAACTTTTATAATTGAGTGAGAATACAGTTTGTACTTCTTATTTTCAGATATCTAGCTATCTAAATGAAAGAAAATATATATACAACTTGAAATAATATTAAAAATAATAATACTTTAGTTTTGGATTAAGAACATCTATTGTTTTGAACTTAACTTTTCATAAACAATTTGATAATTTTTGTGAAGAATCAAATCCTAGTTTATTTTACTACCTGCTTCTTTATGAATTCATAACTACAAAAATTTATTATATAGTTGTCTATTAGCAACAGGTTGAAGACATGTTTAACAAGCTTGATTTAAAAACTCACTTGAATATGTTACAGATCTTAAAGAATCTAAACTACATTTTTCTGAAACAAATTATTCTAAAGATGATGTTAAAAATGAAATTGTTAAGATTAAACAACATAATAAAAAAAAAATTTAAATATAGAGGGTTTTGGTACATAGTAGGCATTAGCTATGTTTAATAATTTTTTTCAAAATTGAAAGTTTTTTTTTATCGATATCAAATATGTATGATTATCAATATAAGAAACCTTAGGATTACTTTTTTGATGCATTTAAATTATTATTTATGTATAAATATCAAGAATACAAGTTATGCAATATGTATATCAGTATGTGAATCTGTTCCTCTAAATTAGCCAATTGTATTATTTAAAATTCTCAATTATACGGATTTAATAAGGGTCTACAAATATGTTTAATTTATTATGTTGACCAAACACCCCAACGTACACCCTACCCTTAAAAGCTATGATATTCACAAGAAATTTTATTTCAAAACTTTTTCCAATAAAATGAATTGTAAAACTTGAATTATATAGTACAAATAATTTCAAATCGTCAGATATACAAAAAAAAATCTACACTTTCCAAACTCAACTAATATAAAATTTAAAATTTCATGTTCGTTATGTCCAGGGTTTATCATAAAAAAGTTCGTTATCATAAGTTTCGACTGTAATTGGATTTATGCAAATCTGTTTTCATGAACCAAATTAGCACAGATAAATAAATCGAACGAGGCTATAAATATTTTTGAGTTCTAAAATATACTCACAGGTTAGATAACGAAATAAACCAGTCTGTCAAAATACAGCTTACTTCTTTACAGTAAGCTTTTGATATAATGAAGAGTTTTGAATTGCGGAATTATAAAATTTCAATCGCATCTAGTAAATATGTTTAGTATTTTCCTTGCATAAGTTATAATGTGGATTTTTTTCTAACCTGAGAACTTCATTATAGTAAGTTGTAAATATGAAATTATTTATATTTTTTGTTGAAATAGCAAACGAATAAAAAAAAAAACTTTGAATACAGGCAACTTTCAATAATGAACTGACAGTTCTTATGGTAAAAAATTTTAAAAGTTCATTGTAGAAGTAATTTACTATGTTCCTATACCGACTCTATAATAAATTTGTTAAAAAATTTTTATTATAGAGTGAGCTTTTTATAAAAAAGTTCGATATAAAGAAAGTCAAGTGTTTATATTGCATAGATAAAATGAGATAAAAAGGTCGAATTATCCGTAACCGCGCCCAATTAGTGGTTAGCAATTTGGTATTTACGGTACTGTATTGATCTTTGCTTCACATTTTATACAATCCAGTACGAAATTATATTTATATATGTATCTTCGTACTGTATCGTATCATTTCAAAATTTTTTAAAATACAGTACTAAATTATCTTCTGTACAGTACACTATATATGTTCATTCTTTAAAAAATCTATTACAAGCAACAATCTACCCTTTTACAACGTATGTACGTACGTACGTACGTACGCAACTACTTTGCGCAGCTACCTTAATAATACATAAATTAATACAAATTAATACAAATTTTTGCAATGACACAAATGAAGATTTTGTATAACACAAAAAATTTTTACGGGTTTCTGCTCTGAGCCTTTTACATATGACAAATCGGTTGCCTGTCATATATTAAAGTTAATGTAGGGCATTGTCATATGAGTGATGCCAAGACAAAACCTGTAAGCCGAGTTTACCCCTGGGAAAATTGTGATGACATATTAAATCATTGTATATGTTCATAATGCTAAATTTAGTTTATGTTTGCCAATAATTAGAGAACATTTCTAGAACGCTGATCGCATCTCTGATTCAATACGTAATACAGTATTATAAATTTCCCAGAGTTAAAACTCACCTTATTGATACCTAAATATTTGCTTGCAGGTTTTGCCTTGGCATAACTCATATAATGTTGCATCAATCACTGACACGAAACCGACAAGTATAATTAATGATCACACATTAAAAAAATTTATCAGCTGTTCTCGAAAAATTTTGTTGCCCATTACTGTATATGTCAACATATACATTAATTCTGTTAATTAAAAAGATGTTAAGATATTCTAAAAAATATATCCATGTAAATGGATACATCCAAAATTTCATTCATTTCAAGCCATCATATTTGAGGCTAAAGAAATTTCTTTTAATAATTTCACTTGTCGGTGCATTCATTACTTTATTTATATTTTATAAAATGCACTTTGCTCCTTATAATTACAATCGGTTTTTAGTTGGAATATCTCAGGAAGCGTACAGAAATGGTGTGATTAAATGTAGTATGATAAAAAGCAATAAATTTAATAATGAGCATCCACGAACAAGTAATCCTAGGTTCGTTCCAGGAACAAAAAGTATTGTTTTCAAAAATGGGATTATTTTAAACGGAAAAGGAGAAACGATTTTAGGTGATCTTATCTTAAAAAATGGATTGATTCATGCTATCGGACAGAACCTTTCAAGTGAAGATGATGCTATCGTAATTGATGTTAAAAAAAAATATATTACTCCCGGACTCGTTGATATGCACAGGTAAAATTTGGTAATTGTCTTATGTTTTATCTTTTTTGATCTCTGCATTTACATAACCGAAAATAATTTACAGCCATGCTACTATCTCGTCTTGGCCATTTTTAATTGGTAGCGATGATGGTAATAAAGAAACTTATCCGCTTACACCTTACGTTCGTATTATATGTAATATATATATCATTTTCCCATTCATGCATATATATATATCAAATTGTTCTAAATAAAATTTTCTCTAATAATATCTTTTCCAATTTCATTTCATTATTCTAAATCCAGGTTCGTGCGCTGGATGCTATCAACCCAAATGGTCCAGGTTAATAAATGGAAATAATGATTTGAAAAAATCTATGTATACTGTAATTGCATTCTATAGTATTTATTTTTTTGAAATATTTTTTAGAAATTCGAATAATTGCATCGGGTGGCGTTACAACTTCATTAAGTAAGCTGATCGTATTTCATATACGCACAATTTGTGAATGCTTAGCGATAATTGTGTCTTGATCCCTAAGCAACATCTTATTGGTGCGAGTTGAGCCATAATAGTCAATATTAATTTTAATTCCTTGCGCTCATAATAGTTTTGACTGGTAGCTTGAGTTTGATGAGTGGTGAAGGTTTCGTTATCAAGATGCGACCAGTTGATACCTCTTCAGTGGATGATATGAGAATTGATGCAAAAATTGATACAAAGAAGGAAAAAGCCTGGCGTTGGTTAAAAATGGCTTGTGGTGAAAATCCAAAGGTAAGCAGAAAGATTTTTCTTTTTTTTTATTATTAAGATATCTTAATTATTATATTTTATTACATACGATGAAGGCTCAACATGGTCCTCGTAAGGAGGCCCCTACAACACGGCTCGGGGAAGCATGGCTATTCCGTAAACTCTTTTTTAAGGCACAAGCATTGAAACAGAAGCAAGATGATTGGTGTAAAGCTGCAACAAAATTAAGTAACAATGAACAATTGAACTCATATTTTCCGGAGGACCTTCAACTCGAGAGTTTGGTGTCATTATTAAGAGGGGATGTGAAACTAAATATTCATTGTCTTGAGGTTTATTTTAAATATTTTATCAATATTTGCATATTTATAAAAATTCTAATTTAAATGTTACATAGCCTTTCGACATAGAAACAATGATTCGACTTTCCTTGGAATTTAATTTTACTATTGAAGCCATACATCATGCATCAAGTTCTTATATGATTACTGATATTATTAAAAAACGAGCAAAAAATAATATTACTGTTGTATTATTTCCTGATCTTTGGGGGCATAAAAAAGAATTACTTCAAGCTAGTACAAAAGCTCCTAAAATTTTTGCAAATGCACAAATTCCTGTAGCATTGAAGTCCGATCATCCTATAACAAATGCGGTAAGTTGTTTGCATTTTTAGATAATATAAATTTTATTCTAATCAATAATTGTTAACTATAGCAACATTTGGCATATCAAGCTGCTAAAGCTTATCATTATGGCCTTGATGAACATCATTCTCTTGCGGCCATCACATCGGTGCCTGCAAAAGCACTGGGTCTGGATCATCGAATTGGTCAAATTTCTTTAGGATATGATGCTGATGTTGTGGTAATATACAGTGTTGTCCAACTCTATGGGAATGCATTTTTTATTTATGATTTATTTTTTATAAGGTTTGGGATTCTTATCCCCTTTCACTGGGTGCGACTCCATTAGAAGTATATATTGATGGAATTCCTCAATTCAACACTTCTTTAAGTGTGCTGAGCAATGAAACATCAAAACAAACTCCATTATATAATACAAATGTGTCTGTGCCAAAATCTGATCTTGCCAGAAAACCTGCTAAATCACGAACAACTTCCTCAATTATACTAAAAAATATTGACAAAATTTATGTTGACAAAAACCACACACTTTCATCAATAGAAGGGATAATTAATATCATAGTTAAAGATGGCATTATTGAATGTATTGGCATTAATTGTATAATTCCAAGTAATATTTCATCATATGAAATAATAGATTTAAAGGGTGGCTATGTATTACCAGTAGGTTTTTTAATGTTATCATTCTATATACGTATTACAGTATATGTTACAGTTGATATATGCAAATTTCTAAATCTATTTAAATTATTTAAATTAAAGGGAATTATTGCTGTTAGCCCTGCTTTAGGGCTAGCGGAGATCGAATTAGAATCCTCTGCAAGC